GTTAAGTAACAATAGTCTGGAATGTGTACAGGGATTGGACATGTTGGGGGGGGTATCCCTCGGTCTCATTTCTTGCTGGGTATACAAAATTTACTAGCTGGAACCCTCGTTACTGTTACATGTGCTCAGTGGGATACTGGGCGCCAGGGTGCATAAAAAGATAAAACGGCGTGTAGATCCTGTTCAAGGGTTACAGTTCTCTGAACCCTTTTAATCATTTAAATGCTACCAGCAGCAGTTACCATGGCTAAGTGATTGTGGGGTCCCTGATCCATGTCAGGAAAATAATTCAGGGATGCAGCGCCTGACTGTATTTATGGCATGGGTGCCACTTTAGCTTCATGACGTCAAACAGAAGGTGTCGAAAATGTCAGTGTGTGAGCGTTAATTTGAAATTAAATACAAAAGTGTATGTACATGGATAACACATACCAACATGCTCATGGCGTCTTATCCAGGGCCAACCAAAAAAATGCACTCGGTAATCTAACCAATCAGCTCTGACAAACAGTGACGTCAAATAAGCCTGCTGTTTACAACAAATCAATACTTTGCAGGACCAATAAAGTACCAAGGGTACAGGGTACCCAGTACCCTTGAATTTACCCACATTTTGTGCGCTCAGATTACGTGTACACACAGTGGTGCTTTTTAAAAGATTGTCTGATTGCCTCTTTTTCTTGAAAGTAAGGATCCTCTTTAAAACTCTGGAAAGTTTCCATCTGAACAGTTTTTCAAAGGTCGGGAGTCTGTCCCCAGAGTTCTGCATATGTACAGAGTAGATCACTGTTAATTTTGTATCATATATATCTTAATGCCCACTATGGGAAAAGAAAATCGTTGAGAGTTTAGGGAGGGTTACTAATCTAGGTCAGTGCAGATAACCCTGCAAGAGACAAGGTACATGTACATGTAGACTGCGTCATTGTTCAGTCTTTATCGGTGTGATAAGTGCGCACACTTGGTCTAATAACATCCCATCAACTCTTGAACAAATCTGAATTGCGCATTCGGAAGAGATGGGTTGCATTAATTTCACACACAGTCACAACAATCTCAGAACTTCTCACAGCGACATATTTCTAATCGCACGGGACAAATTAATAGCCGATTCACAATGAGGATAATCATGTTATCGGTACACGTAGACTGCAAAGGTTGCATAATCAATAGAGAGAATGACGATATGAAGGACAAATCTACATGTATGTAACAAATCGTATAGGGGAAGGTAGTGTACAGAGTGTGTATGTACATGGACAGAGATTGATGTCACAGAAGTTGGACGGAGAAAGAGAGGCGGCAGTTTATGTTGAATTCCCAAAGAACTGTCTGGATTTTTGTTAAGCCTAAGCACACAGATTCACACATCGAACACTGACTACACAAATGGGCAGTTTCAATAACACGTGTACACTGTACATGTGGGGACAGTGAAACCTCATTAATGAGAGCACTGTAAATGTAAGATTCTGCTTAAAACAATGAAATACATGTATTTAAGTGCCAATCCTTTTGCTTTTGTTTTCATTCCTGAAAATACAAGGTTCCTGTTATAACAAGATAATTTGCCAAGTCGAGAGGACCTCTTATTAACGAGATTTAACTGCATGTACTGTTCATGTACATGCATGTACATGAACATGTACGCACAATGCACATATACCGGTACACTGTACACATGGTCACATTATACCAACATGTACATACATATACATGTAGGTACATGTACGTACAGTACATCGTATGTACGTATATACAAGGGAGTGTGAGATTTTCAATAAAACTGTCGGCATAAATTATGGAACATTGTGGAGCAGCTGTGTGATGTGAATGTGCATAATTGACAAAATTTGGGTAGTGTATTGAACACCGTATTTGTACAGCCAACTTACTAGTACCAAAATGTGAAAGACCTACATGTACCGGTATATGTACCTGTAAAGTTACGTGTATACATCAAGTACAAGTGTACGCACCTGTACGTGTGGGGTGTGTACCTACATGTACAACGGAGCACCGGTACCATACTTGCACCTGTACATGTACCAGTGCATGTACCAGTGCATGAACTGTAATACGTAGGTAATGAGCAAGGTCTCAAATTCACTCCTTATGGAGTTCTGCCACTGCAGCTCAGCTGGGTACTCAGGGCCTGGCATTTCAACCTGGCCAGCAGCAACCTTCACTGGGGAATTCACACCAGTCTCCCGCACCTGCATCGAAATGTACATGCACATGTACATTTCGTACGCAGTGTACATGTACGTGCACACGTTCATGGACGTGATGCGGTGGTTCCGTTCTGCGGGCTTTGGGGAGGGGACCCTGTCATTAATTCTTGACAAAAATATCCCAAGAATGTCATCACGTGTACACGTGCGTAAACGCACCTGCAGTTTTGATCAAATCTCAAGCCGACCACGTCAATAAAAGAATCAGATTAATTG